TGGGTATGGCGATAAACTACATCCGCGTCCAGGGTAATACGATAAACTACGTCCCAACAGCAAGGCGTCTGATGAGGTGGTTTTGAGGAGCGTGAGACCACCTCTTAATTGCTGGTGTTCGCAGTTCGACCCTGACCCGGGGTGGTAGCACCTGTTAGGGTCCCAGCTGTATAAAAGTGTAAAAATAGGTTTTAATACCAGAGATGCTTTGTAAAAAAATTATTACCAGAAATACATTTTTGAAGAAGAAAAACTATTACCAGTAATACGTTTTTGAAAAAAAATATTACCAGCAATACATTTTTGAGGAAAAAATATTGCCAGAAATAGATTTTTGGCAAAACAAAATATTACCAGGAGAAATAAGTTATCGGCATTATATAACCCATTGAGGTTGATATGCCGTTAAACAAACCAAACTAAATCAAACCAAACTAAACTATATACTGCACTATGCCGTTGTTTTCAAAGGACGAGGGTGCAGCGACTCAGTTCTTAGAACCCAACAACTGGTACCATCCACACGCATGATTGGCCAGTGTAACATCACTTTTTAGAATAGTTGAATACAAAGAACTGGTCCACAGAGGGTGTCACAAACGACCCTAATTAGGTTTTGAATTCAGAGTTTTCCTTCTTGTAGAACAGTTGCCACCCAAGGCTATAGAACCCACTCTCTATCTGGGTTTGCGAACATGTACTTTTATAAATATATATATATTTTAAAATATTTATAAATATATATATTTTATAAAATATATATAATATAGAGAGAGTTTTATATATATATATATATATATATATATATATATAGAGAGAGAGAGAGAGAGAGAGAGAGAGACAGACAGACAGACAGACAGACAGACAGACAGTGACATTCAATCTCGCACAGCATCTTTTAACTGTTCCATCTCCCCACGATACATATATTGTTTAAAATTTGTATTATTTATGGGGGAACGGTTCTCTATATGGAGATAAACTGTCTGTAGATGTGGCCATAAAGATAATTACTATGCTGACTGGAGTTTTACGCCCTCAACGATCATCAGACCATCAACATAGTGAATGCTTAAAGCGTAAAAAACTGCTAGTCGCCATGCACTGTTGATTTCTATGACCACTCTGCTTACAAAAAGCTCTGTCCTTATGAAATGGTACACCGCTTGGAATAATGACGCAATACTGTCTTGCTTTTTCCGATTCTTATAATAAGAGCTCTTGGGGACTAAGCAAAGCAACAGTAATAAATACAGTCGTATGTATAGGAGAATCCACAGCCATTCACGCACGCAACAGACACACATACATACACACACACTCGCGCGTATAAAACACGCACACGAAGGCGCACGTGCACGGACACCCATATATATATATATATATATAGATAGATAGATAGATAGATAGATAGATAGAGAGAGAGAGAGAGAGAGATAGATAGATAGATAGATAGATAGATAGATAGATATGTCAGTGTGTTTATTACGTAGATAATATAATTTTATTAGTATTTCATCAAAAAGGATACAATTCTTTCATTTTAATTAATCTTTACTGTTTATTTTTTTAATTTTTTTTAATTTTTATTTAATGCATGAGGCGATTCATCTCTGGTGCGTAAATGCGTCCAAAGGGCGCTGGAAACATTAATTTCTTTATATACACCTCGAAGGTAGAGTGGAATCGAAAATAGCCGACGGCGAAAGAATAAGAAAAGTCAGCGAGAAAGGGAGCTCCTGATAAAAGCCAAAATAGATGAATGTCGGTGATGTTGTGAGAGGTAGAAGACAAAACAAAAATCAGAGTAAAGCTTCTTCACGCAACGCCCCTTCCTACACTCTTGAAACACTTCACGATGACGTTTAACAACTAATTATGGTGGACGGACAAATAAAAAAAAAAAAAATTTAAAGAAAAAATTAGAAAGAAATCATGATTTAGAAGTAATTAATAAGTATTAAACAAAAAAAAAATTAACTTTTCTTTTTCGTCTTCGAGGGCAAAAAGAAAATAAAAAAAAAAAAAAAACAGAATAAGATGAAGAAGACGTAAAGTTGCGTTGAGTAAGGGGCGATAATCATGGAAGAGCTTGGATCGAAGTAGAAGAAGAAACAGAAAAGCACTAAAGACAGGCAGGGAAGAGAAAGAGAACGTATGGTAGATTTTTCAATTACGACAGTTGTTGACCTTGGCAATGTAAAAGGGGTGACACGGTGCAATATCGGCAGCAGCAGTTGAAGCAGCGGCAGTAGCGAAAACAGCAGCAGCAGAGTTGAGGTTATTCGGTGCATTTTTAGGAGTGGGAGTAGAAAGCTGGGGTCGCATAAAGAGAAGGAAGTATCCTCTAGAAGTCAGAGTCGTTTGTGGAGGAGGAGGAGGAGGAGAATAAGATATTCAAGAAAATAAAAAGGAAGGAAGGAAACCTGTCAGTGGTGCAGTCATATATATATATATATATATATATATATATATATATATATATATATATATATAGGTA